CAAAGGACAGATTCTAGTCCTAAAAACTTCGAAAAAGATAAATACAAAGAAAACCTCGTCAAGACCAGCTGAAAACAAAACCTGGATAAAAAGGACACTACTTTACAAGTGTTAATACTAAGACTTACAGCTAATTTCTCAGTAGAAATAATGGAGGTGAGGAAACAAAGGGATGTTGTAGTTACTGTGCCTGAAAGAAAAGGAAAATAGTGTTCAAGAATAAAGGTAAACAAATAATTGAATTGTATACTTAAAATAGGTGAATTTTATGAGATGTAAAATAAATGAAGTTCTAAATAAACCTGTATAAAATGAAGTTAAAATAGAGATACCATCAGAGAAATGAAAACTATGAAAATTTATTTTCAGCTGATCTGCTTTAAAGAAAATACTAAAGATAATTTTTCAGGAAGAGGAAAATGATTCCAGAAAGAAGCTTGGAGATGCAGGAAGAAATGAAGAGCAGTAGGAAGGGTAAATATGTGTGTATATTTAAATAAATATTGACATTAAACACAACAGAGCTGGTATAACTCTATAATTAGGCAAAGTAGGTTTTTAAGGCAAAAAGTACTTAAGATGTAAAGATAGATATTTTATAATCATGACAAGTTTCATTGCCCCAAAAGATATAATAGTTCTAAATTTGTGTTTGTCTAATAATGTAGCTTCAAAATACATAAAATTTACAGGCAAATAGGTGCATTCATAATAATAGTGGGAGATTTTAACACATCTTTCTTACGAAATATTTAGATGTAGCAATTAGAACCAAAAAATCGGTAAGGTTATAGAAAATGTGAACACAGTTTAGGAACTTAATTGATGTAATGAAACACTGCATCCAGCATCTGCCAAATATACATTCTAAGTACACATTCTTATTTCGTATGATACGCAAAAGTCAATTCCAGATGAATTATAGATCTAAATGTGAAACACAAAAATTGTAGAAGTAATAGCTCTATAATATTTGGGTAGGGAAGATTTATTGGACAGGAAACGAAAGAAATGACTGATAAATTGCATTATATTAAAATAAAGAACTCCTTTTCATCAAGATAGTGTAAGAGAATAAAAAGTCAAGTTAAAAAGTGTCAAAAGATATTTACAACATTTTATAAAGAACTCTTATGGCTGAGTGCAGTGGCTCAGGCCTGTAATCCCAGCACTTAAGGAGGCTGAGGCAGATGGATCATGAGGTCAGGAGATCGAGACCATCTTGGCCAACTTGAAACCCTGTCTCTACTAAAAATACGAAAATTAACTGGGTGTGGTGGTGTGCACCTGTAGTCCCAGCTATTTGGGAGGCTGAGGAAGGAGAATCGCTTGAACCGGGAGGCAGAAGTTGCAGTGAGCTGAGATTGCACCACTGTACTCCAGCCTGGCGACAGAGCAAGATGCTGCCTCAAAAAACAAAAAGAACTCTTACAGATCGATAAAAGAAAGACAACCCTAAAGAAAAATGAGCAATAGAATTGAATAATCACCTCACAAAAGAAGCTATTCAGATCAGCAAATATACTCAAGGTTTTCAGCCTCACTAGTTATCAGAGAGATACAAATTAAGCTACAATGAGATAAAACATATGGATGACTACCAGGATGACTACATTAAAAACTTTTTCTGAATTTTTATTTTGGGATAATTATAGATTTATAAGAAGTTGCAAAAATAGTACAGAGAGGTTCTGTGTACCCTTCACTCACTTCCCTTCAAAGGCCACAACTTAATAACTATATACATCTTATATAACTATAGCACAATGCTGGACAAGGTGGTTCATGCTTATAGTCTCAGCTGTTCTGGAGGCTGAGGCAGGAGGATTGCTTGAGGTCAGGCGTTCAAGACCAGTGTGAGCAACATAGGGAGACTCCATCTCTTAAAAAAAAAAAAAAATTAGCCAATCATGGTGGCATGCACCTTTAGTACCAGCTACAAGTTGAGGTGGGAAGATCACCTGGGCCCAGGAGTTCAAGGCAGCAGTGAGCTGTGATGTACCACTGCGTTCCAGTCTGGGCAACAGAGCAAGACTCTGTCTTTAGAGAAAAAAAGAAAAAAGAAATATATATAGTATAATATTAAAACCAGAAAATGGATATTTCTTATCACAAATGCATGTGTATAGTTTTGTGCCATTTTATCATGTGTAGATTCATGTCACTACCACCACAGTCAAGACACTGAACTGTATTATTACCACAAAGTTCTACCTGTGCTACCCCTTTAGAGTCTCACCCACATACCTTACCTCCACTATCCCTAACCTCTGGCAGCCACTAATCTGTTCTTCATCTCTATACTTTTTTTCATTTTGAGAATGCTACATGATGGAATCACACATTTATTAGAGCAGTTTTAGATTCATGGTAAAATTGAGCAGAAGATAGATTTTCCATAGATCCTCTTCCCCCACACAAGCATAGCCTCCCCTATTGTCAACATCCCCCACCACAGTGGTACATTTTTTGCAGCTGATGAACCTACCTAAATGCATCATTCTCACTAAAAGTTTATAGTTTACATTAGGGTTCATTCTTGTTCAAATGGCTAAATTTTGAGACTGAAAATACCAAGTGTTGGTGCAGATGTAGATCAATAGGAACTTTTTGTAAATAGCTACAGCCACTGTGAAATACTGGCATTTTCTACTAAGGTTAAATAGAAACCTACTGCCCAATTCAGCAATTCCATTCCTAAGTAAATATCCAACAAAAATTTGTGTCCCTGTTCACCAAAAGAAGTTTTTGTAAAAACATATTTATAGGAATTTGTTTGTAATGGCTATAATATGAGACAGGACCCAAATGCTCAGCAATAATAGAATGGATTTCTTAAAAAGTTATACTGTATTCATATAGTAGATTAGAGCAAGGGTAGAAAAACATTTTCTGTAATGGGCTATACAGTAAATATCTTAGACTTTGTGGGTCCTACATTGTCTGTGGTCATATGTTGTCTACCTAACTCTGCAGTTGTAGCAATGAAGCAGTCACAGGCAATATGTAAACAAATGGTTGTAGTTATGTTCCAAAATAGCCATTTATAAAAACAGACATTAGCCTTTGGGCCTGTAGTTTACTGGCCTCTGTTGTAGAGCCACAAACTGTGGTTACGTGCACTTACATAGATCAGTCTTACATACATAATTTTGCATGAAAGAAACCATGCACTATAATTCAATTTTTGTAAAGTTCAGAAATATCCAAAACACCTATCGTATTGAAGTCAGTGTATCAGTTATTTCTGGGGAGAAAGAGGAGATCCTGATCAGAAGGGACATGAAAAGGAAACTTCTAGGGTGCTAGTAATTGCTTTACCTGAATAGTGATTACTTAAGTCTGTTCATCTTTGATTGCTCATTAAGTTGTATACTTATGATTTGTACACTTCTTCTGTGTGTATGTTATACATTAATGAATTAGTTAAAAATAAAAACTAAACAAAAACAAACACAACTTATGTTTCCATCAGGGTAGTATTGTGTTATTTATCTCTGGCATATGGTAAACATACAACAATTATTTATCGAATTGGGTGTTGCTAATATTGAGCTCTGTAGCAATGTAAGGGACAAGAGAAGTGAGCAGTGATTCTGATTTAGCTTGAAGAGCTTATTGAAAACTTTTGAGGAAGAAATGTTGATAAATATATATTTTGACGTAATTAAAGATACTTTAGTGAAGAAAGATCAAAATCTAAAAGGCTAACATCGGGATCTAGTAAATGGTTTCAGCTGACAAGTGACTATTTATCTTTAAAGACAGAAGGAAAAGTTTATTTGGTTATTAAGAACAAGCTACTACAACTATTTTGTAATGATATTTAATTTGATTCCTGTTTTAAATTTGCTTCAGTCTGACAAAATCTTTGTTATGTTATGTTTTTTATTTGCTTAAACCCTCTTTGAACATTGCCCTGTAAAGTTTCATGTACCCATTAGTACCACGTGGCGTAGATGTGATATAGGGTTTTATTGGAAAAAACTTAGAAGAAATAGTAGAGTATAAGCAGTCCCTCAAACTCCTTTTTCATCTCACAGTTTAGGCCGGGCATAGAGGGTCTTTATGCACTTATGGCCAAGTGAGCTTCCAGTAGAGAATGACCTCTACCCTCTGTAATGCTCCACACATTTGTAGGGCGGGGCCGCAAACACCTAAGTGACTATGTAATAATAGTTACAAAGAGGAAGCCTCCAGAACCCCAGAGACAGGGATGGGTTCTTCCTTTGAGCTAACAACTCAAACCTACTGAGTCTCTTTGCTGCAGCTATCCAGGGCCATCCAGATTTATCTTTATCATATGCATCCCATTATTATAAAATGAAGTGAAATCTTCTTGACCTAGTATTAAAGGTCTTCTAGTACTTTTCTTCAACTTCTTCATCAGGCTTCTTGGTCACTGATTCTACCCAGATTTTTTCATTCACTCAATTACTTTCTAATAAACACATTGCTTTTTCCAAGCTTCTTATCTTTGCTCACATTACCTATTTAGACTGTTTCTTTCTTTCTCTAAATTCGCATCCTTCAAGAGTTGCTTTTGTCTCATCTCTCCTGTGATGGCTTCCTGATGATCTTAATTATACCAATATCGCTTTTCATATACTACCTAATATTACTCATTTTTATATGTTCATTTCTTTCTTTTCATCTAACATATAAATTCCTTACTGGTAGGGAATACATATTATATTACTTTGTAACTTCTGTAATCCCTGGTAGTCTTGTATGTAAATGCTCAACAAATAATGATTAGTATGTGTGCTCTTATAATGTTTTTTAATTATAAAGTAGTCATAATAATTTAGGCTTTTATATGCCTCTTAGATTCTGAATGTTATTAAGTATAATGCTAGATTCTTTATTAGAACATCTTTTTCGCCCCATTGTAATTAATCCCTGTTTTAGAAGTTCATTTTTTTGGGTTGGTATCAATTATTGTCTGTTGGTTACTCTGTTAGCCAGTTTAGTAATTAGATTCCTCCATTCTACTTCAGCAAGAAGTTGAGAACTTTAAGAAGCTAAATCTCATTAGTAAAGAGCAGTTTGAAAACCTAACACCTGAACTTCCTTTTGAGCCAAACCAAGAAGTTCCTGTAACACCTTCACAGTCCAGGCAAGGTATGTAAATCTGCTTTTGTGTGTCTGAATAGTATTAAAGCAGTTCTGAGTTGTTTTTAAAGGTTGCTACTTTTTTTTCTTTATTTGTGGAAAATCATTAGGTATCTGGTAAAATGCTAAAATTTTAAAACTCAACTTTTAATTTATCCTTTGGTGAACTATTATAACATCAGATTATCCTCAAAGCCAGATGCTTACTTAGAAGTAGGCTGAATTGGTTGGTTCTTTATGTATCTGATGTGATTTTGAGATTGCTGGGAATGTTTCTCTTCTAAAAATAAAATTTTTCACCTACTCACTGATCCTTAGAATGCAGTAGAGTCATTCTTTTGTTTTAAGGGCTTAGTTCTGTGTGAGAGTGTAGGTAAATACATTGAAAGATCCATAAATTGAATCTGACATTTCAGACAACTATAACTGATTTTGTTATAGTCTTTTCCTGAAGGTGGTTAAAAATTTTTTTATAAAAGCATCACACATATACAAAGACAGAGTGAATTTTTGTTGTTGTTGTTGAGATGGGGTCTCACTCTTGCCAGGCTGGAATGCAATGCCATGATCTCAGCTCATGGCAACCTCAGCCTCCCGGGATCAAGCAGTTCTTCTGCCTCAGCCTCCCAAGTAGCTGGGACTACAGGTGCGTGCGAACACACCTGGCTAATTTTTTTTTCCATTTCAGGTACAGACAGGGTTTCACTGTGTTAGCCAGGATGGTCTCGATCTCCTGACTTCATGGTCCGCCTGCCTCAACCTCCCAAAGTGCTGGGTTTACAGGCGTGAGCCACCGTGCTGGGTTATACAGTGAATTTTGTAATGAAACCCCATGTACATGTTACACTTAATCATCTCATAACTAATTTTGTTTCATCTCAACTCTAGTCACTCCCTATACCTCCCTCTGGATTATTTTGAAATAAATTCTCATATGATTCATATTTTTTTAATCCCTAAATATTTCTGTGTGTGTCTTTAAGAAGACAAGGGCTATATCTTTTAACAAATAAGTAGCAGGACGTTATCATATCTAAAATTAACAGTAATTTCTTAATGTTAAATATCTAATTAGTGTTCAAATTTCCTCATTCATCACTTTTTTTCCCAGTTTCTTCAAATGGATTGCAATAGAGTGATATGTCTTTTTTAGTCTACAGGTTTCTACAATTTTTTGCCTTATAATTTATTAGTCCTTGCAATTTACTATTGAAGAAACTGAGTTGTTCTATAGTCTCTCACATTCTGAATTTTGCTGATTGCATCCGCATAGTTTCATTTAACCTGTTTTCTAGTCCTGAATTGTCTCTGTTAGTCCAACATAGAGGCTTGATTAGGTTAATACTCAAATCTCTGTAAGAATATGTTATATGTAGTATTGAATACTATTAGAAAATACATAATGCCCTATTGTCTCTCTGTAATGTTAGCAGTGATTGATGATCAGTGAGTGAAGCTTATATTTTACTAGGGATTGCAAAATAGTGATGATTCTATTTTTAATCATTACTTCTTACTTTAATAGGTAGAATACTTTTATAAAGAGAACTTTCTCCCAATTATGCTTAGTCTATAATTTAAAAAAAAAGAGAGAACTTTCCTCAGAATTTGTTTATTCTGATATAGTATTTTTATAGGAAAGTGAATTATTTCCCTTTGTTTACTAGTTTCAAAGTAATACCTGATTCCTTAACATTCTTCGATGGTGACTAATGAAGTTTTTGTTTGTTTTTAAATGATCATTGTGAGCTCATAAATACATGAGATGGGTTTCATTCTATTATAGTTATTATTATTGATACCTGTGTCAGTTATCATTTTATTGACTTTTAGTTCTAAAGCCACCTTTCATTTTCTTGCTCGGTAATAATGGAGTTGGACTGTTAACGTTAATGTTTCCCACCCCACACAAGGTTGAGATTTGTCAGTACCAGAGTTGCTACCAAGTTAGTCCTTGTTTCTAGGCCTTTTGAATAGAAAGAGCTAGGAAATTTTTTAAAGAGAAAAATATATTATGTATTTATGTTGATATTTTCTGTCTAAATTTAAGATTATAGGTTTTGAATTTTAACTTGTTTGATTTTGTGATTGTATTGCTTTTTACTTAGATATATTAAAAAACTTTGTTTCTAACTGCAGTAACATAATTATTTATTTGCTAATCCTATGAGATAATAGTTTCAGAATAACAATAACATTAAATAATAATATTATAAATACTGAAAGGTAACTTCTTTTAGAGTTCTTTAAACTTTAAACTTTCAAAAACTTCATACTTTAAAGCTTTCTTTAAAGTTCTTAATATGTCCCACTAGGGATGTTCAGTTCAATTGCTGGATTTTTTGTCTTGTTAAATTTGAGTACTTTAAAATTGAGAATGTATGTTCCTTTGCACATCATAGCAAGAATACAAGTCGCAAATAAGGAGATAAATTTGACATTGCATTAAATTAACAAATAGTATCATAGAAATCTAAAATCTTAAAAATTAATATGAAAAATAGGAAACAATAATAGAAAAAGTAATAAACAAAACATGAACATCAGTTTCCCATTAGGGAAGACCAAATGGCAAATAAATATGAAAAGATGCTATTTTTACTGAGGTTTTCCCATTAAAACCATAATGATATACCATATTATAACCTAGTAGTTTCATTTCAAGAGATACTATTACAGGTCATTGTGGCTCATGCCTGTAATCCCAATACTTTGGGAGGCCAAGACAGGAGGATCACTTGAGCCAAGGAGTTTGAGACTAGCCTGGGCAACATAGGAAGACCCCATTTCTACAAATATTAATAATAAATAAAGAGTTACTGTTGCAAATGTTTACCAATAGAATATTTGTAGTATCATTGTTTATAATAGAAAAAAGCAAATGAAAACTAAAAAATGCCCAGTTATAGTAGAATGTATTATAAGATGTGGCGTATTCATACATAAGAAAAATAGGCAGCAGTGGAAAATGAAAGAACTAATGTTACGTATGACAAAATGTGTTAATTTAAAAATACAGGAAAAAGGCCGGGCGCGGTGGCTCAAGCCTGTAATCCCAGCACTTTGGGAGGCCGAGGCGGGTGGATCACGA